GAACTGAAATATTATGCCGCTTGGCATAATTCCTTGTAACTGGACGATTTGTCAAAGCAAATGCAGTAGGAACAACAGCATCAATCTCAGAATCATCCTCTAAAGGACTTCTTGAAAGAAAGTCGGCTAAAACTAACTCCGTACCTTTCATATAACCAATTTGGAAGGAATAATGAGATAACTTAAATAATAATTTCTTTAACCTATTAGTACATGGTTCACGTTTAGAATTTAACAGTTGAACAATGGCTGAATGGTCAACAAATGCATCAAACTCAACACCCTTTAAAAGATACTGGAAATTAGTGACATTAATTAATAATCCGAACAACTCTAACTCTGTGACGCTATAACGTTCACAAGCTTTAGGTAACCTTTTAGAATAATAACCTAACAATCTCTCTGTACCATCAATAATCTGAGTAAGATAAGATCCTGTGGCTGTTCTAGAAGTGTCACTATATAATCTAAATCTACCATCACCTGAAGGAGTAAACAACACAGGTGGCTGAACAAGTAAAGATTTAACTTCTTCAAAAGCTGATTCTTGAGCATCAGTCCATTCGAATTTAGCTTTCTTATTAGATATTTTATGTAGAGGTTGAAGTATAAGTTGAAGTTTTGGCAGGAAATTTGAAACATAATTAACAGCACCGATGAATCTACGAACTTCTCTTGTAGATTTTGGACGAACTAAAGTAATAATGCTTTCCACCATAGTAAGAACTGATTCCTGTGTATTTCTGAGACTTTTCTGATAGTGGAATTGTGAAAAATGCAGATTTCAAATCAAGACAACTCATAACCCTAGGTTTACTATGACCAATGCGCTTAAGACTATCAGAAAGCAATGGAAAAGGATGATTGAAACGTTGAATTCTGGAATTTAGATGACGAAAATCGACAACTACTCTTTTCTCATTTGTACCTTTCTTAGGAATAATAAGAACTGGAGAAGTATAAGGTTGATGACCTTCAGATAAAATACCTAATTTAACTAATTTGTTTAATTCCTCATCGATTATTTTCTTCTCTGATTCAGTAGTGGGATAAGGCCTGATATAAAATGGATCCTTATTAGTAACTTCTATGTCTACTTCAATATTAGGACATTGACCTATTTCACCGTTTAAACTAAAAGCTTCTTTGTATTTATACAAAAGATTATAAAATTCCTGTTTTGCAGAATTATCTAAAAGACTTGATGACAAATCTATACTGTTATGAATAATATCTCGTGATTGCTTTTGACTGGATAGAGATATATTATTTGAATTTGACACTTGCAAATTTTCACAAAAGAACACATTCTGAAGTGACATAAATGAAACAGGAGTAGAACTTTTAATATGCATAACATGATTAGTCTTATTGACCAATGGAATGACAGCGTGATTTTTCTTTAATTTGACAAGGACTGACTTAGGACATGCTTCAGATAAGCGATTACTTGATACCATATGAACATCTCGATTCTTAACAATACCTGGAACATTACCATATATATTAACATACTTACTTTGATTGGGCCTCAGGTGTAAATCAGAAGTCATATAGAATGGAATAGTTTTACAACGAAAAATATTATCACGAAAACTTAGATTACCATTAAGTTGAGCTAAAGTGTCCTGTCCCATGACCAAATCAATTCCAATCATATTGTTTGTAATATATGCATAGAGTCCAAATGTAAACCCTTGAATATGAACCTCTAAATGAAGATAATAATCACTTTCTAAACACATACCATTACCCATTCGAAATTTTAATGGTTCCTTCAATTTATAAACTGGCAATTTCCTTAAATAAGAAGATGAACTTATGAAGGATTTAGAAATAAGTGACCTTGATGCACCACTATCAATAAGAACTAGTGTAGATTTTCCATCTTGTAACAACCCTTTACAAAAATTTCTATTGTCAAGTTGAATCTGTACTTCAACATCTGGTTTGGTTTTGTCTAGATTAGGGAGTTCATGAGGAGCAGATTCACAAACCCCCTTTTCTAAAAATTTTGATTCGATGCAGAAGAATTGGCACGTCTTTGTAACTCTTTATCTCGAGCAAAGCAGTTTTTCCAAATATGTCCTGGTCTAAGACAATATTCACAAAAAGTTCTTGAACGATAACTGTTCCTATAGTAACTGTCTCTATGATGAGAATTCTCATTGCTTGAACGGCGATAAGGAGAATTGGAATGATGATTCCAATGACGTGGATGATTCTGAAAAGGAGAACGATATCTAGGAGATCTATCAGTTTTGACCTGCCTATCTCTATTTCGACTAGGTCTCAATGCAGAAATATGTAATGAGTCCATCTCATCTGCAACAAAGTTAACTTCCTTAGAGACTGAAGAAGTGTTATCTATCGACTTTTTCATATCAAAATATCTCTGAATTTTACCTACCAGATCATCAGCTGTAGAATTATTATCAGTCGTCATGACAACAGACTGTTGACATTCACTGGGCAAGATATCTATCAATTTATGCTTAATCTGATTCTCACCATAATTTAACCTCTTACAAACTCTCTCAACATTTTCATAATTCTCTGAAGCTGTGATAGAAGAATCATACTGCAAATTTTTATATCTAGTCATCAAAGAAAATTCAGTTTTAGACTCTGAAAACCTTGAAAGAAAAGCTGTGCGTAAATCTCTAATATGTCTGAAAACTTGGCCTTCAATCCAAAGTCTGGCCTTACCTTTCAAAGTCAATTTGAATGCTGAAACAACTTTTCCAAAGTCACCAACAACTAGTGTCTCGTAATCAATATCTTTAGATTCACAAATGTCCAAAAATGAAAGGAAATGAGCTTCTGCTAAATCTCGATTTATGATAGTACCATCAAAACGATCTGTTTTAGTATCCTTATCCATAGTGAAAAGAAGAAAAACAATGAAGGACAACTGCAATCCAAATAACAGAATCATCTAACCTTTAACTTTAAAAGTAATGAAACAAAACATTATGAAACTTTGCAGAGAATTCCAACTCTGATGCCAAAACACACAGATACGATAAACAACGGAATATTACGAAAACCTGAAAAACAAAAATATGATTAGTACAGATATAGATGATAATTAATAAGAATAGCAATCCACTCTCACACTCAAAGGAACCCAAAAAAAAAAATCTAATTTTCACTTTGTCTTTAGAAAAAAAAATAAATGTCAATGAGTCAGATATTGTCTATATTTATAGTTTCTGAACCGCTTTTACTTCCATCTAAACTGTTTATTAAACTTTAAAGTTGTTATTTTGACACAGGTCACCAAATATTAACCACCACACAGTCACAAAGATGTTCAATGTCAAATTCTTCACTTCGACACTTGTAGGCTACTTCAGTTCAACTTGAAAATTTAAAATATTGTCTCAATTCCACTTTATCTAACCAATCAATATTTTTAAAGTTTACATTCGATGATACACAGAGTCTGGCTATTGTCATTAACTGCACTGAGTCTTAGATCAGTTAAAATCACCAAAATCCATACTCTAGTATAACCATTTTCACTTCTAAGAAACTAGATAAGCCCATTCAAAATCATACAAAAATTCACAAGGCATAAAAAATCGTCAATAGTAGATCTGTTTAGGCATCTCCACCATGTTTTGTTGGGGTTTCCATCCTAGATGGATTTGGATTGTTCTTATAATCAAAACTAGAATCTAAGTTTCAGCCATGCTTTATTCAATCTCTAAGCTCTTACATCATGCCTTCAACTCACAAAAGTACATATCCTGTCACATGACAAACATCTACCTTAAGAGCAGACAACTCTGTTTTACTGAGAAGGAAAATATGGGAGATAACTCTTACTTAACAATGATTTTTAAGACCACAATATGAACTAATGATATCAATATGACAATAGGATCTCGGTCAAGTTCGAATTTGACATATTTTCGATGAACGGTTTTTGAGATATTGCCCTTGACTTAGCACGCCTTGAAATTTGTTAAAAATTGTTCGTGAGCAGGATTGAAGCTACAGTTTTCATCCGATTCTGATGAAACTTGGTGTGATCATTGGAATTCATAAGATCTCGGACAAGTTCTAATTTGACGCATTTTCGATGAACGGTTTTTGAGTTATTGCCCTTGACTTTGTTAAAACGCGTCAAAATTTGTTAAAAATAGTTCGTGAGCAGGATTGAAGCTACAGTTTTCAACCGATTCTGATGAAACTTGGTGTGATCATTGG